GGTAACCTGAGACAACTGGCTGAGTGGTTAAGGCGAAGGACTGCTAATTCTTTGAGCTCTGCATGTATGGGTTTGAGTCCCATCCTTGTTCATCTAACTAAAAGTTAATCTTTCCTCTAGAACAAAGCTGCACTCTTACATGATGAGGTGACTAAGTGTGGTTTATTTATAAACTAATTTTGAGAGGATCATGTGCTTATGATTGAACACAGCTGGTAATGCACCAGCCGCATATTGCACCAATCAGATGAACACTGACACACTGGAGCTTTTTGCTCCAGTCAACTTCGTTTTGAAGAATCCCCCTTTCCACCCCTACTCCTCCCCTTCTCTGATAGGGTGGCACAGTGGCCTGCACTGTTGCCTCACAGTAAGAATGCCACTGGTTTGGCCCTTTGCAGACCGGTCTGCGTATCTGTGTGGAGTTTGCATGTCCTCCTCGAGTTTCGCGTGGGTTTTCCCCAGGTTCTCTGGTTTTCTCCCACCGTTCAAAGGCATGCCAAACACGCTTTCTTATCAATCATCAGCTAAGTGTGAACTCTTGAAAGTTATGTTGTACTCTGCAAGTGCTGGTTTAAATCCCATTCTTAGAGTTTCACTGTTTTGAGAGAGGCCAGTGCTTCTGTCTACGGTTTCTTGCACCTCTCAGCGTCTTAAAGGATGTTATGTGAAAATTTTATGTAATCTTTAGTGAAATTAGCTGCAAAAACATACATATACACCACAGTCCAGTCTCCATGAGGAATACATTTACATGCGAGAGGAGGTGGCTGAGTGGTTAAGGTCATGGACTGCTAATTAATTCTGTTCTGCACGTGTGGGTTTGAATCCCTTCCTTGTTGTAAATTGCTTTAGTGTTGTGAGAGAGCCCGGTGCTGCTATTGAAGGTTTTTCACTTACACCTATCTTAACAATTTGAAGGGTGTTATGGTAAAGTTAATCCAGCCTCCAGCAGGGATGGACTATTTATCCACTGTGCTCTGCACATATGGGTTCGAATCCCATCCACGTCATTCAAATGCTTTAGGGTTTTAAAGAGCCTGGTGCTTCCATGGAAGGTTTCTTACACGCACTCTGTTAGTATTCTGAAGAATGTTATGGTACAGGTTAATCCAGCCTGCTGCATGTTTAGTAGCCTTCTGTCTACTTTTTCTCCTACAAAACCAGAAAAAAACGTTGAAGTTAGTGTTGAACATTAACTTTGGGGCACTGATCAGAGCTACTGAAAAGCTCCTTATGACAACCTTGAACTTTATATTTTCTGTAAGAGCTCTCAGGAAAAAACAAAGTCCAGCTTCGCGCAGCCATCAGATAATCTGAGACGAGGTGGCTGAGTGGTTAAGGCAATGGACATTGTGCTCTTTTTTGCGTGGGTTTGAGTCCCATCCTTGTTGTTCATCTAATTAAATTTTAATCCTTTCTCTAGCACAAAGCTGCGCTTACACATGATGAGGTGGCTGAGTGCATAAGTCAGTACGTTGTACTCTGTAAGTTCTTGTTTAAATCCCATCCTCATAGTTTTAAGTTATAATATTTTGTAGAAATAAATGTATACAATGTTTTAATTAAATCACACTTAAATTAAACCAAATATATTTTAGTCAACTAACCTCGAGTAGATTTAGTCGACTAAAACTAGACTAAAACTTGTAACAGAAATTAGCTCATTTTATGAATATTAATAATCAACAATAACGGTTTATTCTTAATTATCAATATTCCGGCTTAAGCTTCAGTCAATTTGGTCAAACAAACATATGATTGTATATGATCATGCTCGCGCGACCGAGCGGATTCCCAGATTATGAATATTAATTATCAACAATAACGAATTATTATTAATCATTAATATTCCAGATCAATTTATTGTTAATTTGACCAAACAAACACAAGCAGAGCCGCCGCTCTTTTTAGCGGACACGGTAATCTATTCATTTAGAAAAAGGGAATTTAATTGCTACTTCTTGTGAAGTAGATTAATCATTCAAAAGTATTAAACAACTTATAATAGCTAGGCAGGGAAATCTGTATTTCAGTGACATTTTCTCGTGAGACAAACAATACAATTCATTTGATTACAATGGAATTTATTGACTAGACAGACGTAACGAACAAACAAACGCACAAACATACATTAAACACGGAACAAAGGTAAACCACGTGGAGATATCGGGTCTATCCGGGACTATAAAACTTGTACGAACAGAGAGAGATAGCAAAGCGCGGAAATATAGATTTCAGATAAAAGAGTGACAAAACTTTCAGTTCCACACGCACCATTAAGGACCACCAAGATTATAAAAACACCTTTTTGATAAAAGGGGCACAGCTTAATCGCATAACTAAAAGTACCTGGACTCTATGACTGGGGTCTCTCTCTTTATGCTTCCGTCCTGATGAAACTCCTTTGATGTCCTTCTTGATGCGTTGAGTTTGTAATACAGTTCTGAGGAATGCGATCACAAACTTTAAACTGAGTTTACTTTGCCGGAAAATAAAGAAAGCGTTACGGGAAAAAGTCCATGCGGCGTAGAAAAGCCGCGTAGCCCTAAAAGGGCCACGTTTTGATGGGTTCTTTGTTTGGACCTTCTCTGAGGATGTTTGGGGGGGAAGTCTGGTTATACCTGTGGGTCACGTGACAACCCGTTCAGCATTCTGACCAATGATTTCAGGGGAAATTTGAGCGGGAACCCTTCCTTTGAGGCTGCTCGTATGCAAATTTGAGTGTCCGTCTAAAGCATGCGGACAGGCATTTAATACAGGGCTTTAAAGAATAAAGCAATGCGAGTTATGGTCTCAATCTATGCATCATGTGTTGTAAAATGTCAGCAGAAACCCATCGGTACCAAACATGGGGGGTTTAAAAGTACATCAACATAATTTTTCATATCCTTACAATATTTATGCTTCAAAAAGACCTAAAAGGAACAGGCATACAGGTTATAAGAGAGGTTACACAGGTAAGAAAAGTCAGAAATGAGATACAAAGTTTACAAAACATAACACTTTAGTTTTGTGCTGTTTTTAGGATTTCTGAGTGCATTTTCTTTCTGTCAGAACAGCCCCGTGGTTGTGTGTGTGTGTTTGGGCAGGAATGTATTTGAAGCTCTAGGCTTAGGCCCCGTTTACACTAGTGCGTTTTAGTTTGAAAACGCATAAGTTTTGCTACGGTTACGCCATTCGTCCACACTACACCGGAGTTCTCGAGCTCTGAAAACGGAGCTTTTTGAAAACGCTGGAGAGGCCGTTTTCATTCTAAAACGCTGCTGCTCCGTCTCAGTGTGGAAGGGGAAAGACGGAGACATCTGAAAACGGAGGCGGGGCTGCAAACTTTCGCCTATCTGATTGGGGCTTTTCCTCAATATTAAGTAGCCCACACACAGTTCAGTCTTGCATCCTCTTCTTGTAAGTTAAGACTTCGCAAGTTTGATCAAGGCTGCAGTCTCCCCCTTCTCAGTTTGATATGGAAAACATACCGAGTACACGGGTAAATCTTCAAAGGGAACAGTGTACTTTATAACTTCATTCACATCACCTTGGCTACGTTGTTTCCCTTTCTCAACAATAAAATGTAAACATGATTGAAGGAACTGCCTATTTTCTTTTTAATATTAGCAACTTAACAGACAGCAGAAATGTTGAGGCGTCGTACTGCATATATGAGCATCATCTTCACTGTGTGGATATTTATAACAAAACGGAGCCGATAACAACTGCCTCCTTTCAATTTCAGTGAAAATACGAAACACACCCTCTCTTTTGCTGAATATCAGTTTTAATAATCGATTATTATAAAAGTATAACATACAATAAGTTTATAGATTGTAGGAAATAAAGGCAAGCGATCAGTCAATGTACCTGAATTAATCATTAACTTATCTTTGCGCTTAACCAAAACATGTTACCCGTGAACAAGTAACTTAATAGATTCCAATGACCAAAGTCAGGGAATTGGCCTATGTCGTTAGATAAAGACAACAACATGAATGAAATATCACGTTTAGCAAATATAGTGAGATTAGATCCAGCAGGAGATGCTTGATGAGCAGTCTGACAAGCAGAGCTCTCATCTGGGTAGAAATACTGGAGCGCTTGCCCGATAGTGTGTGTGTGTGTGATCACGTGATGTGCGTTTTCAGTGTTTTGGTGTGGACGGAGAGCTGTTCAGAAACGCTGGGTAAAACGCGAGTGTAGACGCGGATCGTTTTCATTCTACAACGCCGTTTTAAAACTAAAACGCACTAGTGTAAACGGGGCCTTAGTAATCCAGGGACACTGGAGAGATAAAGTCTGTCGGGGGTACCCAGACTTTTTGGAGCCAGGAGTCGTAAAACCGTCTTGTCGACTGAACCCAGATCGTGATAAAATCAATAAGTAATTTTATCTGTGGACTGTACGCTACAAACTAAAAGGATTCAGAAGACTAAAATATGACCAAAACTAAATTGGAATTTTAGTCAAAGACTAAATCAAAGTATGCTGTCAAAATTAACACTGGTCGAGTGTTTGTATATATGCTTTTTGTTTTAGTTTACTCAAACACATGCATGCACACACACACAAATATACATATACTAAAACATGGAATAGTTTATATCATCCTGTTTTTGCATTTTTTAAGACCACATAGCAGTAGTTGATTTCCAATGAGTGATATGGTTCAAGAAAGTAAAGTATGGTGCACATGTATTTTCATTTCTACTGTTTTGGGCCATTTTTGTAAAGGCACATCACATCTAAAATATGTGGAATGCCTGATGTGAAAAAATAAACTTGAGATCACAAAATATGCAATATCTGAACAGCCCATATGACTTTCTTTTTCAAGTGAGAATGACATTGATTACAACTTTCTGGCACATACCACGATTACCAAATAAACGGTACTACTGACAGTAAAAATGCTAGTCTGATCTTTTTTTTTTTCTTTTTTTTTCTAGACCATATAGTATATGTCTACCATTTACTTAGATAAGAATACACAAATAAAAATCACTCACCTCCTGCGGTGTTTCACATATGTGGAGCCCCTGTCGTCCTCCTGTTCCTGAGCTCTGCTGTGAGGGTGTGGAGGTCTGTTGTGCCTCTGACTCAGGTCTTTAGTGCTGCTTTTCTCCTCAGCAGAAGGAAAGTCATAGTAACCCTTCCTCTTGGCCTTCAGTCTAAGCTTGTTCCTGTAGTGCTCAATGTCTGACTTCTGTTTCAGAGCCAAATTCACCTGTATACACACAGAGGGATAGAGAGATAGAACACTGGCCAATCATATACTAAAACATTTTTTGAATGTAGATCTAATTAATTTCTCATGGGTAAAGCGATTTTCTTAAAGAAATCTGTGCCAGGTCTCTTTGAAGCCCAAATGTGACTAAATTAAGCAACAGTCTGCATTGAGATTTAGTAAGAATAAGCTTTTGTTGACTTTATAGACTAAGATTTCTGTGATGTTAAATTAAATCTTTGTAGAGTCTTGCAGAGATAAAAACATTGTGTTTCATGCCCTATATCAGTTTTATCTACTCGTTTATTTTACATCCAGCCTATTTTAAACCTGTGTACTCCAACTAGCAAATATGAGGTTGTGTAACAAATAGCCTATTTTAACTATTTGTCCAGTTGGCTAGTAATTTGGCATGTAGTCGCCAAACTACTTGTTTAAAGAGCCCCTATTGTGAGTTTTTGAAAAATTACTTTCCATGCAATGTGTAGCACAGCACTAATATACGGTTCTTCACCAAATATGTAGTGCCGGATCCGGAATAACTTGAACGTGCCTTTCCCTTCAGACACTAGCAGAGTGCAGGGGATCACAGAACTGATTATAAGGTGAAGATGCCGATCACTGGCAGTTAGAGATTTGGCTTCATTTTTACAACAATACCAAAGTATAGCCAACCTAGTGCTGTGCTTGGTCCTATAATTTTTCAAAATTTTGATACAATAATCTATGCTGCAACGCAGGGGGGGGTCTCCACATCACCACTAGTGTGCAGTATCCACTTGGATGATGTGACAGCAGCCACAGGACAACGGCACCAGTGCGCTCACCACACACCAGCTATAGGTGGAGTGGAGAGACAGTGACAGAGCCAATTTAGTGGATGATTGGGAGGGCCGATTGAGGGACTCCTGGTCCCCTGCTCTTTACAGTGCCATGTGACTTTTAATGACCATAGAGAGTCAGGACCTCGGTTTAACGTCTCACCTGAAAAACAGCGCCCACTTACAGTGTAATGTAACCTTCACTTTCACTGGGGCATTATTGGCTCGTTTCCACTGACAGGTACAGTACGGTACGGTTCGGGTCGGTACGGGTCACCTTTATCAGGCTTGCGTTTCCACTACCAAGGGTACCCTTTTGGTGGGCGTGGTGTATGACAAAGTTTCAGTCGACGTCATTTTCGCTCGAGAAAATGTTTACGATAAAGCTGCAGAGGTCGTTCACATATCATATGAAAAGCACTTCTCACAAAATAGATGCTTTACAAACATAAATGCTTGTGTATAAATGTTTATTACTAACTTTTCTATAAACAGGAGTTTTTTATAACTGCAGATCAATGACGGTGCGAAATAGCCTACTGTAAAGTCTGTAATTATATTAAATAAATAAATAAATGAACATATATGAACACATACAGACCCTTACAGTATCCGGTATGTTACCAACTACAGAAGAACTACACAAAGCAGACATTTCGTCAATAATTAGGTTCAAAACAATACAAAGTATAGTCTACAGTCAGAGTAAACCTCTCATCTGTGTCTGTAATCTTCAGCAGCACATGAAGCCTCTGTTAGAGAGTCATTCCATCATTCCCAGTTCATATTAGTCCAAAAGGTGATAATAAAGATTAAAACAAGGCAGTTTGTTCACGTTTGCTGAAGAAATAACATGATCCTTGGCTTCGCCTTTTTTTCCTCGCCCCACTCTCACGTTTGTCCTTTTCTTTCTGAATGTGTCACTCTCGTTTGTCAGCTTCTCACAGGATCGGGTTTCCAAAAGCTTGTCAATAATCAAGTGCATGTTATTATCATCAGCTCAAGAAGTTTGTTATTTTAGATAGAGACACGCGGCGAAATCAAGGAAGAAAGCGAAACCACTCGGGCTTCAGACTGGCTCGTAAAAACTACGCGGCACAGGGTAAAAAATAAATAAATCCGCTCTTCTCCATGGCTTTGTGGCTGTTTATCATGACGATGACCGGGTTTGTTTGCAGGATAGACCATGGCTGCATATGTATATATAATTTCGCTGTAATTTCTCGCTGTGTATTTCAAACATGGCGGGTCCTTTGTTTACATTCTGGCTTGTTGCGTCTACGAATTACATATCTCTGTAAACCAATAGCGTTCAGCTGCGCGTGTAGCTCCACCTTTTGGGACCCTTTCTGCAGTTTGGGACCCTTTCGAAAGGGTCCCGAAAAAGTGGTACGGTACGGTTTGGTTCGGTACGCCTTTTGACAGTGGAAACGGCCATAAAAGCGTACCAAACCGAACCGTACCGTACCACTCAGTGGAAACGGGCCATATGACCCAGACAGACTGCAGGTTGAGCACCCCCTGCTGGCCTCACTAACACCACTTACAACAGCAACCTAGTTTTCCCATGTGGTCTCCCGTCCAGGTACTGACCAGGCTCTCAGCCCTGCTTAGCTTCAGTGAGAAACCGGTCTTGGGCTCCAGGGTGATATGGCTGTGGCTATTTCAATATAATCCTTATATAATGAAGAGGGCCAAGTTCATTCATTCATTCATTTTCTTTTCAGCTTAGTCCCTTTATTAATCCGGGGTCACCACAGCAGAAAAGACCGCCAACTTATCCAGCACGTTTTTACACAGCGGATGCCCTTCCAGCTGCAACCCATCTCTGGGAAAGGCCGAGTTTTCTACTGAACTAAAATATATTTGCCCGTCATCGAGGCGAGAGATATTGTGTATTGTATAAGCTATTTCGTTCCATGAAAAAAATACTATACTAAATACTATAGCGTTTGAAAGCATACTGTAGATAATTACTTGAATTAAATTGTCATAGTAATTATTCTGTTACTGTTGTACAACACAACTGTAGGAATAAACAAACTACCCAACAGGCTTTAGTTTTCTATGCTATAGCACTATCACAATACAGCAGAATTTACACTAACTTTCCAGTGTTTATTACAGTTTATCAGTTTACTTTAATACAATGTTCTGTAGCATCCATTAACAAAGAGTTGTACACATTATACACTTTACTATGTGGCTTAAAAACATGTTTATTCTAAATTACTATTGTTTTTCCTCCATGCAGATGTCTTTCAGACAACACGAAATAACAAATAAAAGCATAAAAAAGCGCTGTGGACACATATCTACATTACTATTTATTCATTTTTTTTAGAGGGTAAAGTGCTCACACAACAAGAACATGTTATGGTTGTTTATTCTGCCCAAACCCCAGTAAAGACATGGATTATTGCAGAAAAGATGAAGATTTTATTGCAGTGATAACAAGGCACATTTAAGTGTGTATAAGTGTGGTGGTGTTTTTATCTGATTTTTATATAAAATATTTATACACATAGCTAAGCAGGTATATAGTCTTTATTGGTGCTGTCAAATAAATTATCGCATTCAAAAAAGCTTGTACATATATATTTATTAAACAAAAGGTTTATTACACGCCGCCTTTTTCTGTTTTTCAGACCGTTTTTTTTTTAAACTTCCCTCCTTTATGAACAAAAACTTATTGAAGTCTTCAAAAGCTGTTCAGGATTTAAACAAACAATTAGAAGTAACATAAAACAAAAACATTTTGATGTTTCAATAGCAATTCCTATGTAGAAGAATCACATGCAAACTCAACACAGAAATGCCAACTGGCCTAGCCGAGATTCGAATTAGCAACCTTCTTGCTGTGAGGTCAGAGTGCTAACCATTGAGCCACCATGCCGCCGGACTCAATACTGCTCAGTGAGCGCCATCTTCCGAATGAGATGTTAAACTGAGGTCCTCTGGGTTGTGAAAAATCCCAAGATGTCTTTAGAAAAAGAGTAGGGAGTTGACCCTGGCATCCTGGCCAAATTTGTCCACTGGCCTCTGTCCATCATGGCCTCCTAGCCATCCCCATATCATTACTGGCTTCATTACTCTGTTTCCTCTCCACTAATTAGCTAGTGTGTGGTGTGCGATCTGGCGCAAGGTCCAGGTGGATGCTGCACACTAGTGGTGGATAAGGTACAGATTTGAGCATATACATTAAAATGTAAACATGATATAGTCCTTTCCATATGACCAGTATTAAATACTTGAATAGATTATAATTATATATGGTTATCGGGATATGAGATGACAAAAATCTCATATGACTGGATAAGTGTCAGTAGACAGTCACAATCAGCCTCCTGTGCCTAAACTGAATTCCCATCCATCAAAACCTTTTTGAAGCAAGTCAGTGGTTGCTCTTTGAGGTTTACTCTAATAAAATCAAATCTTACCTCTCCATTAAATACAGCAGAGTCCTGGCTGCGGTCGGAGGACATGGGGTGAGAGTAAGTGGGTGGAGCTGCCATTGGTTTTATGGAAATAAGATGAAGTGATCCTGATGAACTGTCATAATGATCTGCCAAAAGTAAACACACACATACAAACACTTCTTACTGTGTTTCCACATCAGACTGCAGAAATGATACAAGATTTTACACACAGCATTTACACAGATTCACTCCCTGATGATGTGGCAGTGGCTCTGTACAAGATTATCCCTTGTGCAGAAGATGAATACATTTTTTAGCTCTCAGTTATTTCAAATGAAAAAGATCTGAGCCTAAGATCTCAGCATATCTTTTGATTTTAATTAACTGGGCAAATGTATCAAGAAGATAAGCTTCTAGCTGGTCCACTTTTGAGAGAATATATCTAAATATATTCTTATGTCAGTGGGAAAAAATTATAGAAGGATAAGCAAAACTGTCCATCTTGTCCTAAATATAAATAAATAACCCTGTGGTACAGCTGGCATGGATCTAAGAGAAACGCTCACTATCCTTCAGCTAAGTCCCTGATTTATCAGGGGTTGCCACAGTGGAATGAACTGCCAATTACTCTGGCATATGTTTTATGCAGCGGATGCCCTTCCAGCTACAACCCAGCATTGGGAAACATCCACACACTCTTATTCCCACATTATGCCCAATTTGGTTTACTCAGTTCATCTGTACCACATGTATTCAGAAACCCACAAACATGCAAACTCCACAAAGAAATGCCACCTGGCCTAGCCAGGACTCAAACCATCCTAAAACCAGCCTTACCAGTCTAAAATTGATCAGGGAGAACTGAATGAATTTGCATGGTGTTCTTTTACATATGACAGAATTTTATACCTGATCACCTGTTATGCTCCAAAAAGCAATATTTTAATGAACGTAGCTTTAAATTGTGTGTTTTTTTATTCTACAGAATCAGTGAGAATTCTCAAACTCTACAAAAAGAAATTGTCTGACTTTGTTATTTGTAATTTTAACAGGAGACTGAATACAGTACATGAGAAGCTCAAGTGTTATTAATGGTTTTTAATATTACCTAGTGACACTGTTACATACATCTATTTAATTTCTCTTAACATTTTAGCGTGTATGTGTCTTAAAGAATTGGATGGTTGGCAAGCACAAACAGCATAAAAAGAGCAGCATGCACAGTTGCTACTCTGTAAACCCTGCTGTTGTCATTACTAAACATTTTAAGTTAATCTAACTTGACATTACTTAAAATACCAAGTTTTGGCATCAAGACTTAAACAGTTGTGTTTAACTTACTCTCTAGTCAGCAAAAAGCTGAACTTAACATTTTAATTTCTATAAACGATTCACCATGTCTCTGTTTAAAATAATTGGTTGTGCTTGAAATTCTGCCTTGACAACTGCGCTGATTAGTCGATATATGTTAAAAGACACAAGGTGGTCATTTTGCTTGTGATGGTAAATTTTGCTGAAGCACAGCAGTACACTACCTTAACCCATCTGACAAATTTAAATTAGTAAGTACATAATGAAATGCTTGTATATATTTTTCTTAATTTATATACATGCAGCGGTGACAGAGTGGCACAATGGGTAGCACTGTCACCTCACAGCAAGAAGTTTGATGGTTCAAGTCCCGGCTGAGTCATTTGGAATTTCTGTGTGGAGTTTGCATGTTCTCCCCGTGTTGGTGTGGGTTTCCTCCAGGCACTCTGGTTTTCCACATAGAGCAAAGACATGCGCTATAGATCAATCAGGAAAGCTAAACTGTCCGTAGTATGTGTGTCCTTAATTAGATGTTACGGAACACCAACATGGTGTGGCTAAATATCAACTTCGATATAAACGGCCATGGGAGTAGGCAAGTTAGTAAAGAATAAAAGCTGAAAAAATTGGAAGTTTAGTCTATTAAAGATTTTAAGTTTTCTGCAATTAAACATTTAAGTTGATTCAATGAAGAGACCACATTTGTACAACTCAATTAATTGAGTTGTTGATTTCCCATTACTCAAACGAATTAGGGGAATCACTATCCTCAAATTATTTGAGAAGTCTCAACCTATTAGGGTTTACAGATAAGTCCACTTGTAATAATTATATGCGTATAATATAATAAAATAAAATTGGGCTTTCTCTATAAATCTTTGCACTATTTACATTAACATTCTAAATCACAAACTGAATGGAAGATAATATTTAATAAGAGAGAGAAAAAAAAAGGTTTACAGATACTGCATCAAATTGTCTCTTGAAGACACAATGGGGGGGGGGAGTATGTGTATTAAGAGAAAATGGATGGATTTAAACTTGTAGGAGACCTCCAAGACAAATTTAGAAGCTTTTAACTTAGCATAATAGGGCACTTTACATGATTTTTACGACCAAATCTGAATGACTGAAATTCTGTTCTGGCACAATTCACCTCCCCACGGATTAAAGTTCCATCTGACTAAGGTCACATGCAGCATGTGCCAACAGGACCTGAACATATGGCACCTTATGTTGTTAGGGATATGTTTACAGTATGTCCTCATGTGGTGTTTGTAAGTGTTTACCAGGTCAGTTCAAATTCAGTTATATGTGTTTATAGTTTTTTTTGTTTAAAGATTTATAAAAATTATGACTTATCGTACGGAAAAAGTATAACCATATTGCAGTTCACCTTCAATGGCTATGCCTTTCTTTGTGTTTTTGCGTGTCTGCTAAAATGTGCGTGTGACCCCCTGTTGCTCCCCAGTGATGCTGGTAGCCACAATGACAGAAGGGATCATGTCAAACAATAATGTTATATTAATATTTTTAGAGCTCCATCCCTCACAGGATGATCATTTGGTTGTCATTTGCCAAATTAGTGAAAGAATTGTCATACCTGCCATGATAACAACATTCACCCTCGGGAGACGCTATAATTACTCTCGTAGGAGAACTTTGCTTTCACAATCCAAATTAAATAAACTAATCCAACATCAATGTCGTTCCCGCTACATGAGCAAAGCAGCATCCGTTGAGTGTGTGAAGTGTCCATCATTCCACACTTCATTTTAAAGGTTGGATAATTGCATCATCCGGTTGTTTAAACTGCACTTATTCTCTTTAGCGTTTTCAGTGTGAATGCACTACTTACACTATTTATTATACCAAATGGTGTAGAATAGTGTATAAGTATGCGATTTGGAATGCACACATTATCGTTTTAGCTAATAGTTCCAGGCTTGTCATCCTCCAAGGCTACAACTACTATCATGCATTGTGCTAATCAACATTGTGCTAATCAACTCCGCTACAGCTGAACACTATCTGTACACTGACATTCACACAGCTGTAGATCATTTGCACTGATTACTTGGACTGTCAATACACCACTCGCACACACCGATGCTGCGTCCAAAACCGCATACTTCCATACTATATAGTACGCTAAAATCAGTATGCGAGCCGAGTAGTATTTCCGAATTCATAGAATTCGAAAATCAGTAAGCGAGAACTATGCGGATGTTGTACGTCCGAATTCCATTCATACTTTTCACATTCATACTGTATAGAACGTACTTTTCTAACGACTGATTAGTATGTTTAAATTCAAATGCAGTACCTACTGAGTAGAAGGTGGTTTCAGACACAGCCCGAGTCTTATTTACCATCTTGCAACAAATTACAATCACAAGTGTTTCTTTGTGTTTTTGCCTGTCTTGGTTTTTCTTTCTTTTTTTTTTTTTTTCTTGGTTTGTTTTTTTCTTTGCTTCCTGTCTTGACCCTATGCCTGTTATTCTGATTACACTTTGGATTATCTTTGTTTGGATTATCTACAGTGACACCTAGTGGTATTTTTTATGAATTACTCTAGAATCTTCACCAAAAGAAACAGTTAAGCAAATTGAGGTATTAAACCCCACGTTGTTGAGTTGAGGGTTCAAGTGATTAAGTGAAGTGGTGAGAGCTCTAGACTAACATGCTGAAATAATTGGTTTGAATCCAGGGTGATGCAGTAAAAGACGATAGTTTTTGAATGCTCTGTTCTTGTAATCTGTTTTGTTTTAACGTTGGTCTCATATCCAAATAAACACTTTGTGTATAAATAGGTCTTGTTTTGGTCATAAAAAAGTAACATTATTAAAATGCATCAAGTCATAACTTCAGTCGGGAGTTGGGAGCCACTGGCAGCACAATCACTAGGCTACATGAGATAAAAGTTTTTTTCAACTCGGTCAATCAAACACAGATTTGGCAGGTCTTGAAATGCTTCTGAAATGGCCACTGCTTTGAATCAATTTAGTCGCGTGACCTGGTGTTTCGAAACACTTTAGTCATATGACCTGGGTGTTTCAAATCACCTTAGTCATGTGACCTAGGTGTTTTGGAGTATGCTTTGGTGTAGTGCTATAAAACTCTTGCGTTTCGGGATCTCGACAGTTTCATATCAGCCATCCCTACTTTGTTGTTGATGCTAGTATGCGACCCCTGCCCATCTGACCATTCTTGCTAAACTGTATTTGGATCCAACTGGTGTCATCACATCTCCTGTTTGCAACATCTACATTCTGGTCAACTCTGTTAAATTTGTTGTAAAAAAGGCATCACAATCTGTATTTGGCATCCACAATCAAGAAATGTGGATGAGACCAAGGAAGCCCTTTTTGAAGGCAAGTTTCAGTATAAAACAATTAGTCGCATCACCAGGCTCTCCAGAGTTTCATGCAATTTTGGGTGTTTTATTTTTAACTTTCGACTTCTGTTGTAAGTTGATACCGCATGGCAAACAGAAAGAAAATCCTCTGCATTTCGTGACTCTGTGTTCCTTTAAGGTAATAAAATCACTGCTTAGGTTACACGGTAGACTTTTAATAAGAGTATAATCTTAATCATATTAAAATCGGAGTATTGGTGTCTTATGTATGTGAATGTACTCAGAAAGTCTCTGGTGAAGTCGCGAGCTGTCAAAGACAGGGCATTACTCTGCCTTTCAGCATGAGCCCTCCAAGTTTAGCATGTTTCATCCTTAAACGCAACTAAAGTGTATGCTTCAAGTTGTTGTGTCAGAATCATTATGAAATACAGTAATACTTTAGGACGCTTAGTTTAAGCAAATTTGATGAACGTGATCATGCGTGTTGAATCTGAGGGGAGTCGCTCCAGTATGGAAGGCCGTTGGGGCCTAAAAGTCTGACGTCTTGTATTCTATAGTTTATTATTATAATTTTTCATTTTCCATATCTGCAATTCCTGTATTTTGGCTTTTTTTTTTTGCAGTCCACTTAGAATCCAACATGGAAATCAATGTTTTCTTTATTGGCATTGACTGTTTTGAAATTTAAATGTCATTAAATTGCCTGTGTTTTAAATTCTTTAATAAATATGGCTGTCAAGCCAGGATCTTGATGGTTTATTGTGGGTATGTTGTATGCATGAAGAAATCTGTGTTACAAGTAAAAAAAAAAAAATCTATTAAACAATTATATTTTGAATTTTAATAGTTTTTGTCTTGCGCTTAGATTAATTTTACATTTGAATAGCCAAAATTACAAGTTTCAGTATTTTAAATGTGATTAATCGCGATTAATCGTGATTAATTTTTTTAAAAAGGTGCGATTAATTAGTTATTTTTTTTAATCGATTGACAGCACTAATATATATATATATATATATATATATATATATATATATATATATTAGTGCTGTCAATCGATTAAAAAAAATAACTAATTAACCACAATACTGGAATGAGTCACCTATTAAAAGGATTTTAGAGATCATTTAAGCTTAGATAACTCATGAATTCAGTGTATTTCTAAACCAACAACATGAAGCACATAAAACATCTATTAATATCTATTCATAAAATGACCCTGTCTATGGTGGCAGCTCAGCTCACCAAGTTGGAACCAAGTTTTATTTTCCTCATGAGATCAGAACATTCACTGATGTTTTGTGGCCTGACAGCACAAGTGCGAAAAGTGCTGAAACAGTGGAGGCATTTCTCACCATTACTCTTCCTCGTCTCCTCCTTGGTGAGTTTCTGCTGCGCTGTGGCTTTTTGCACACTCGAGCCCTTTCCTGAGACCTCCTTCACTGATTCGCTGCTGATGACGGAACCATCCTCACTCGGCAACCTACTGCAAGTAACCATAGCAACAAGGAGCAGCGGTGAGTCGGTGCATGTGTGAAATGAGAGGATGGTTATGTCATTTTCTTTGTCTGCATTCTCATCGCACACACATAAATGCAAGGAGACACAACATGACTTTCATCAAAACCACTGTGGTGTCACAGTTAAAACAATAAATGGTAGTGTTGTTTTGATGGTGTAAATCTTACAGTTCATTCATGATATCTAACATCTTTAGTTTTGATATTGAATAATTGTCATATTACATACACTCAAATGTTGTTTCTTTAAACTACTTATTTTTAAATAAGCTAAAACAATAATTTAATAAATTTTTATAAATAATATAAATTATTTTCATGGTTAATCAGCTATACTAATAGAGAAGACTCCCGATTCAGATCCGTTTTTACATTACTGTGACGGTTGGGTTTAGGATTGGGGTAGACGGTAATAAAATATAAGTAATATGAAACTTAATAAATAATATAAACAATTCTCATTACATTTCGTTTGCAGCGTATGTGATCTATAGCAGATTAACCATGTGGATGGATAATAACAGCCTTCGGAGCCTTCTGTTAGGCCTCTACAAGTGGCCTCTACTAGCCATTATTTATCAGCTGAAAACCACTTAATGGCCATTCAATTGAGTAATAACATTTGATTCGGCTGACAAATTGATCATGAGGAACCCAACATGTTTTACATAATTTGTTGTATGCAATATTTTAAAGAAACAAAACGAAAACAGATGAAAAAAACATGCATGCATCTACTTCAACAAAAAATAAAGTAAAATACAGCAATAATGTTTTGTGATCACTAAAACATTAAAATACTCTACATCAGCGGTTTCCAACAGGGAGGTCTGTAGGGGTTTGCGTCCATTTTTTATTTTTTTTTAGCAGTGGTCAATTAGGGGAAAGATCATGTTGACTTGTCCTCCACGAAAGGTCACTCAGTGCATGCTCGAGTGACGTCACTAACGTCACTGTCTCCGTTCCATCGCCTACTGCGTGTGCTTGGAGATTGGACTCGCTATTTACTCGCAATTTAAATCTTAATCATAAAATTCTTCCTCATTCGCTAAGTATTTGTCTCTCCTACTTAGGGTGAACAAACCCTTAATACATTTATACAAACAAAACTGCTTTAAAACGGTCTGTCCCTCGAGCATCCGCCTGTTGTTTGTAGTTTTAGCCTGCAAGCGCCGCTGGTCAGCTAAAGCTACCGACCTCTTTTACCATACACTTTTGACTTACTGGCTTTGCTCTTTACCCCGTAAAATGTCGCTTGCGTCTCTGTTCTTGTCTGCAGGAGAAGCATCGATGGAGGCGTTGGAGCTGGAGCTAGAAGAAGTGGAGTCCCAGATCCGGGCACTTTTGATGAGGCGGACGCGGCTGCAGGAACAACGGGCGTCGCTTGTTGTGCCTAACGCTAAGGCCGCCTCATCATCTAAGGTACGTGGAAATTACAACCACATCATTCCCTCTACCTCAACCCCGCGTCCTTCTCTGTCCAGGCCCAGCACACCCAGGGCGCGGCTCGGCCAGGCATCGTTCACGCTGACACCCGTCTACCACGGCGCCTGGGTGCAGCCGCGTAAGGTGCTTGCCAGATCCCGGGGCAGAACATCTCCTCCTCCCGTGTTCGAGATCTCCACGGAGAACCGCTTCTCCCCTCTCCGCGAGTCGGGTCCCGATGTGGCCATCATCGGTGACTTGATCGTTCGTCACGTCCGTGCCGCCTCCTCAAAAGGTAATAAAGTACGTACTTTCTGCTTTCCTGGTGCCCGTGTGAGAAATATTTCTACACAGATTCCAACCATCCTGGGCGCTGCCGAGAGCCCTGGTGCCGTTGTCCTCCATGTGGGGACAAACGACAACGGGCTCCGGCAGTCGGAGATCCTGAAGAAGGACTTCAGGAGCCTGATCGAGACGGTTCGACGCACCTCGCCCGCCACGCAGATCATCGTTTCTGGGCCGCTTCCTACCTACCGCCGAGGAAATTAAAGGTTCAGTAGACTTTTTGCTCTGAATGAATGGCTATTAACATGGTGTAAAGAACAGAAATTGCTCTTTGCTAATAACTGGAATCTTTTCTGGGAGCGTCCTAGGCTCTTCCGTCCTGACGGCCTGCACCCCAGTCGAGCCGGAGCTGAACTCCTGTCGGACAACATCTCCAGATTACTTCGCACTATCTGACTAGGACATAAAAATTCACAAAATTCACATTATAGCCACCTAGACTCTTGTTCGTCCCACTTAAACATCAGTAACGCATATTTAGCGAATCCTATAGAGACTGTGTCTGTTCCTCGTATTATTTGATTAAGAAATAAACGTACTGTGTGCTCCAGAAAAAAATCTATTAAGTATCAAACCAGAAAAACCAGTAGAAAGTGAAAATACAAATTTCGTAAAGCTTGGTCTCCTAAACATCAGGTCACTTGCACCTAAAGCACTTATCATTAATGAAATAATAACAGAAAACAATCTTAATGCATTGTCTCACTGAAACCTGGCTGAAACAAAATGACTATATTAGCTTAAATGAAGCAACTCCTCCAGGATTCTTATATAAACATGAGGCTTGTCAAACTGGTCGTGGTGGAGGAGTTGCATCAATCTTTAGTGATTTCCTTAATATTAATCAGAGAAAAGGACTTATGTTTAGCTCCTTTAAAGTATTAGCGCTTAATGTTCAGCTTCCAGATACTATGCAAAAACCTATGTTATCTTTAACTTTAATCACCATATATAGACCCCCAGGACCCTATGTCAATTTTCTAAAAGAATTTTCAGATTTTATTTCTGACTTACTAGTCAAAACTGATAAAATGCTAATTGTAGGTGACTTTAACATCCACATAGATGACGCTTACGATACATTAGGGCTTGCGTTTATGGATTTAATACACTCACTTGGGATAAAGCAAAACGTTGTGGGTCCAACCCATCGCTTAAAGCATACATTAGATCTAATTCTGTCTTATAGAATCGAGGTTATTGACGAAAACATTATACCACAAAGTGATGATATTACAGATCACTACCTCTTACTATATAAGCTGTGTTTACCTGAAATCAGCAAACCCGCTCCAATACTCCGCCCTAGTAGAACTATTGTTCAGTCAACCAAAGATGAATTTATAAATAACTTACCTGATCTCTCTCTATTTCATAATGCACCCGCAAACTCAAATGATCTTGATGTAGTAACCAGCAGTATGGATGCCATCTTTACTAGCACACTAAATACTGTGGCACCCATCAAATTAAAAAAGGCTAGAGAGATTAAAACTATACCATGGTATAATAGTCATACTCGTGCGCTCAAAACAGCAACCCGCGCCCTGGAACGTAAATGGAAAAAAACTAATTTAGAGGTCTTTAGAATTGCGTACAAAGACAGTATGTCCAGCTATAGGAGGGCTCTAAAATCTGCCAGGACCGAGCACCTGCGCAAACTGATAGAAAATAATCATAACAATCCTAGATTTTTAATTAACACCATCTCTAAATTAGCAAATAATCGGTCATCCTTGGAACAAACTGTTCCACCGCAAATTAGTAGTGATGACTTCATGAATTTTTTCAGTAATAAAATAGAAGGCTTTAGACAGAAAATAGGAGATGCCAAACTTTCTGCACCGGCTTATACTCCAAATCCTGTAAATATTTCATTGAATCATAATAATAACCTACACTGCTTCAAAATCATAGAACAGGAAGAGCTAGATAAAATTATAAATAGCTCTAAACCAGCTACGTGTATGCTGGATTCAATTCCAACAAAATTACTGAAAGAGCTGCTACCTGCTATAGGAGAACCTCTTCTTAACATTATTAACTCTTCTTTATCTATAGGCCATGTTCCAAACTCTTACAAGCTAGCTGTTATTAAGCCTATTATTAAGAAACCACAACTAGACCCCAACAACTTAGCTAACTATAGGCCTATTTCAAATCTTCCATTAATGTCTAAAATACTAGAAAAAGTTGTTTCCATTCAATTATGCTCTTTTCTGCAGATGAACAATATTTTTGAAGTGTTTCATGCATGAGGCCATCCAAATTAATAAGACGTTTGCAAATGCCTCATCGCCAATACCGCGACAAGCCCTTTTATGAGCGCAAGGCAAAAGAATTGACACACACCCAAAATGAGATGAGACGTCACACCTACTGACAAGAAACTTTAAAAAAAAATAGTTATTAATATAGGGCCAATTTAAAGGCCAAGGCTTGCGTTTTTTTATTTACAAATGGTCTACTGATGTTTTGCTTTTAAATTAGGCTATTATTTGTGCATAAAAATATCTAAATATAGTATTGTTTGTTTAAAAACAACATTTTTTTTCTGCATTCTCATTGCAAACTTATATGAAAGATAATATAATTACATGTTAAGGGGAGGCCTTACTACAAAGACCCAGAAGGGACATAGTGGAGGAGAAAAAAATTGGCTGGGTGAAAAAAAAATGGGTAGGAAGGAAAAAAAATGGGTTAAAGAAAAAAAATGGATGGGAGGAAAATATATATTTCTAAGTTTTTGCGTTCACTCGTAAAGTTTTGCGTTCCCTCGCAAAGATGTTTTGCGTTCTCTCGCAAAACTGTTTCTCCACAAACACTTCCTGTTCACTTCACTCATGTAAACCCTCCTGTTTTTGCCGAAATTCTTCCATATTTTACCATTCTATCCCACTTTCTTTACATTAAAGATATGCGTCGATCGTCGCCTGTCATATGCAACCTCTAAACCAGTGAATGCATAAGCGCTGACTGACAGAAGCGCTCCGTACAATAAACTGATCCCAGATCAGCTTCTGTACATGCCATTTAAAGTGACACCTCTGTTATCAAACAAGTGAGCAGCAAATGAATCTGATGTTTTGTTTTGTTTGATAACAGAGGTGTCACTGTAAGAATGCACAGATCAATAATGAAAGCATTCCATTACTTACTGTTTGTGCTCATTTAAGAGAATATTAGATGCAGGATG